GGGATGTCTTGTAGGAAGTCAATCTTGCAAGCTGAAGCAGGGAACTGCTAAGGCAGCTGCACCCGGTGCAACCATCACAAAACAAGAGACCCGAGAACGCGAAAGGCGAGGCTTCATCACCCATTTATCCCTCCGCCTTTCAACCAGCCCCACATGTGATTATCGGCTAGGCTGGCATAATTAACTAACTCACCCATGATGTGACCTGATGTGATGAACCAATAAAAAGGTAAAAGGCAGGATGTCAGGCCCCTACTTCCATCACAGTCCTGATCTTCTGTAATAGGAGTTAACCCTGTGGCTGGTCTGAACACCCATTTTTCTCTTATAAAAGCTAGAAGGAAGGGGCAAGGAGAATAAATCAGTGGGACCTACGAACACCAAGAAAGAAGAGCTGGAGTTGAGAATATCCTTTGGACTAAAGGTTCTTGTTCTGAAAAACTCCTAGACCCTGGGAAAGATTGATACCAAGTGGGCCTACAGATCCGGAAAGGAGATAAAGGCTTATCTTCAGAATCAACAGAGAGAGAAAACAATCCCCGAAACCCAGCACTCTGATTCGGACATTCAGCCTTCTAAACTATAGAAAAATAAATGACTGTTTCTTGAGGCTCTTGGCTTATGGTATTATCATTATAGCAGCACTAGATGAGAGAGAGAGAATGAATGAGTTATGTTCTGCAATGGCCACTTCAGTTAAACAGGCCCACATGATAATCTTCCACCACAGGTAGCCAGAGCACCACAAAGCAAATCCAGAGGCATTACAAATGTTTACTTTATCAGAATAGTATTAAGTTGGGTATTTTAGCATTATGAATAGCTCATTCAACCACCACTTGTCTGTCAGCTTGTCGTATGTGTTGGCTTGTGTGTTGTTATAATGCTGAAAGCTATATCACTGGTATTCAAATACCAGCAGGGTCATCAAACGTGAGTAAGTTTCAGCAGCGCTTCTAGACTAAGAACGGACTATGAAGAAGGAATAGCCTGTCCATGTCTGAGGAATTCGCCACTGAAAATCCTAATGGATAGCATCCAAACATTGTAAGACACTGAAAACCTAAGGAGTAGAAGCAGAACATTGTCAGAGTTAATACCAGATGATGAGCCTCAGGTTGGAAGGCACTCAAAATATGACTGAGGAGTAGCTGCCTTAATGACATGGATGGAATAACATCTGTCGGAGTAAAGCCTTTGGGACCTTCATTTGATGATGGGGCATGACTCAAAATGAGAAGAAACAGCTGCAAACATCAGTTAATAATTGGAACTTGGAATGTACAAAGTATGAATCTCGGAAAATTGGAAGTTGTTGAAAATAAAATTGAATGCATAAAGTTATCATAAACTTTAGGGAGCTGAAACGGACTGGTATTGGCCATTGTGAATTAAAACATTCTATAGTTTACTAAGCTGGGAATGACACAATCAAGAGGAATGGAATGGCATCCATCGTCAAGAAGGACATGTCAAGACTTATCTGAAGCATGATGTGCCTGTGATGGATACTTTCTATCCACATACAAGGAAATACAGTAAGTAC